TTCCCTTAAGGAAGATGTAGGTCAGACACACCCCTTACGGCGAAGACTGCAGAACCATAAATTGCGACAGACGTATGATCGACAATCTACAAAGTAAATTTTTAGTCTTTACTAGCTAGTTAGATATCTAGCTGAATGAACTTAATCGACAGGATGTGTCCATGATTTATTTCATCTTAGGACAGTAAAAGTATAGGAAATATTTTCAATTAATTTTAAAACGTCTTCTTTATAATAACACTTTTTACTAGTGTACTCTTTTTTTCATTAAGGTACGTAGTTAATCATATTATGAAACAATTAAAAGCGATATTCAATGCAATTGTTTATGTTTCTAAATTATTATTATTCAAAATGAGCTTTAGATCAGAATTGATTCGTTCATTGTTCCCTCAATCATTCCAGCCCAATTAGTTCATTTTCAACGACTATTATCTCCTTTAATACCAAGAGAAATGTCTTAATTACACGATTATCTGTATTAATGTTTTATTACCAACGGCTATAGATTCGTTTAGCTAACTATAGCGACTGACAAAGAACTGACACTTCTTCTTCAGATTAATATTCTGTGGAAATAAGAGTATACAGTTACACTAAAAAATAATATCGCTGGAGAGTGGCTTCTTATTACTTTCAAAGACTGTTTCGAACGCCCTCCTGTGTACCTCGAAAGAATTTCATTAAAAAAACCGCAACCACGGTTAGGTTAGGTTTCTCTACTAAAACTGTAGCAAAAGAAATAATAGTAAAACGTGAGGAATTTTATCTACTTCAAAAGAAACTGCGACAGGAACGTTTTCTACACAACAGGGAAATGCTAAATAAAAATACTGGCATTCTTCCATATTTGTTCAGACATTCGTGAAACATATAATTGCTCAGAAGGATCGATAATGCGAACGATGCTTTCAAGAGTTTTCATAGAGAGGCCACGAAACCTACAAATAGAAATGCATGTAACAATTGAACATTCTCGATTGCATTATAGGGATGCAGCGAAGAAACATTTTTCTCTCTCCATGTATATAATGTAACCTAACCTACAACGTCTCGAAAATAAGCTCTCTGATCCAGCTTGTATTCCAACTTTTTCCTTCCTTCCTGGAAACTAGAGATCACCGTGAATCTTGTTTACGTTCCCATTTGCCACAAGGAAAATCGCCACGAACTATGTATATTCCGTTACGGAGGGTCGAGTATCGGCAACATAGGGTTACAACAAAAACGCGAAACGCGTGTTTTCCTTAGAAAGCGACAGAAACGAGAGAAAAGAACGTTGATATGACTTGATATGCAGTATGTACCTGGATGGGGAAATGGCAAAAGGGCAGAGTCGCGTGAAAACAGAGGCGGAAGATTCGTTGGTCGACACCAACAAGAATAGACTACGGTCGTGGCACGTCGCGTCGAAAATAACCACACTGCACGTAAATTTTGGCCGCGCGCTCGCGTTCACGCGCCACTGTCGCTAGTCGTGGCCGCTAAAGCGGGAAAGTGGGTGACTTACGCAGCCACTCAGGGTCAAGAGTAAATACGAAGACGACACTGGGTCTTACAATTAGAGAATTCTAAACAGCTATTCTAAACAGCGACTCGCTCGGCCAAACTTTCTTTCGATTAAACCTAAGCGTATAAGATAATTTACTTCATCGAAATACGAATAATATACTGTACTAAAATTACGTGTACGCTCGATAAAGCAGGATAAAACATGTCCGATTTTTTCGACCAATCAGATCGTCGTGTTGCCCAGGGGGCAGACCTGATCTATGTAGACTATCGAAAAATAACAATTCATGCTGATTAAATAACGACGATCTAGAAAATATACATGATCTTATCGATATATCAACGATCTATGATAATATACATCGAAAAGATAATTTATGTACATATTGTCATGGCAGCAACATCGTGTTTTACAACAAATTATGATAATTCACATCGATTGTATTTGCCTTTTAGTCACCATTTTATTATTTATTACATGTACATTGAATATATAAATTATCGACGTTATAATTAATTTGTCGATATATATATATTCATACGAAATAAAAATCTATAATTTTGCCGCAGAGGGATAGCAAAAAGTTCGGTTTCACAGCACGTGTTAGTTAAAAAATATCTTTGCCACTTATTTTCACGGATGGTATATAGCACTGAATAATTTACGACTATATGTTTCACCAGCGACTTGACATCAAAGTTTTCGGGATATTGAATATTCTACCGAGCGAAAGACATTCGAATAATTAGATCCCTTAATTATTTCAAGAGGTTAGGTCACCTTGACCAATTAAAAAATTCGATTTTTTTCATAATTAATACGATTCGTTGTCTCAAGAATTGTTGAAGAAAGTCAAAATTCGTACGGAAAATTACCTTAATTCGCAGTAAATTTGTAATATCTCTTTCTCGCAAATTTCATCTGCGCTGTTTCCAAGTAATGACGTCAGTAGGAAAATCTCAGTAAAGATGAGTTACTGGAACGTTGCTCGGGCGGGTTTAATCGAAATTCCAACGAAAGTTATAACCTGCTTCTTTGGAAAATTGCACGAAAAGCGGAGTCTTTTCAACGGAGCGAAAAAAAAAAAAGTGCGAACTGCTGCAAGCATCGATTTACATCGGCTCTTCGCGTTACGGGGATAATGATATTTCACTCGGCCCCATTGCTTTTCAAACAGCGCAGAAGATTGATTTACTACGAGTGACCGTAGCGGAGATTTGAGCGCAGGAAGTAACTAAAGAAGCTCGATTAAGCAAAAAACAAGGAAAGAGAAACTAAAGAGATACCAATAAGGAACAGGAAGAAGTATGCTATGTTGTAGGAATAGCTAATTGAAAATGCGGCAAGAATTTGAAATTTATTTAGACAAAATGCGTTCCGAAAACTTTAAGAATTATTTTTTTCAAAACCACGTCTTCTGAAACGGTGTACGTTGTAATTTTACTAAAACTCGATCACTTTTTATGAATATCAGCAATAGATATTTTCAAAGGAATTTTTTTTTAGGATTTTTTCTAATATCTGAACTTTTACACGATTTATAAATAAATAAGTGACCATGTCGAATTTCTGTGGAAAAAGTCAATTTTTTGGTTTCACAAACCTGTTCATCGATAATAATTGAGAAAAAAAATGTTGGTGTATTATTTTGCAAATCAGTGTTTTCTGCTACTTGAAGCTAGCTAAATGACTAAAGCAGCACTACTTTTTGAACAGGCCAAGGTAGTCTAATCGCTTAAGTACCGTTCTCCTGTAACTATTATTCATCGCCATTATAGAGAATACTTATTCTATTAGCGTTGAAACGATGCAAAAATAATTTCGTTAGTCATCGTTAATTTTCTAGAGAAATAAATAAAATCTGAAAATCGTATAATCGTTATAATACTGTTAACCGTATTCTTTTAATCTACGTTAAATCTCTATCGAATAAGTGTTCTACTCGATAGACTTTGAAATCAAAACTAATTCCATCGGTATTCATTCGTGAAAAGAAACTTTGGTTTAGTAATTTCATGCATAAATTTCCCTTCCATGAGCGCAGTACACTTTCCGCACCTAGTTTCCTATCTACACATATTACAAAATACGCCCACGATTCGATAATATGCAAAGGAGTGGTGTTGTGCAATGATAATGTTTGCCTTATCGCCACTTATTAATTATAATTAAACGTAGCTACATAAATTAATCTAAATGTAAAATGCACGTGTACTAAACGACCCAATTTCCTTCTCCAAAATAAATCTTATTGCAATGTGACGCAGCAGTAGTATGCCGAAGAACTGTTCAATATTATGGTGATTAATAAATACTTCAATATCAAAAAATTGACCGTAACTTTTATTGAACGTTACAAAAAAATACAATAATATTATCAGGAAATATTCAATTTAATATAAAACATACTATATATAATTATTATAGTACCTTTCTTAAATACGATATTTTTCATAACCTAATATTTCAGAAGCGAGGAAAAATAGGTAAACGAACAAAATGTGATAGACCGTGTACCTTGAAAGAAGATACACCATCGTTACATCTATACACGGCACTCTGTCGATATTGGCAATTGGTGTGACCATCGGTGAAAATTTTCATGACCTGGGATAACTTGGAAATGAGTCCCCGTGGTCGAGCCGATACATCTCTGCCTGCCTGTTAGACAGCAGAGCCCGCAACAGTTACGGTGGCTGTTAAATTATGAAAGGCACGCGTATTAAGGTTCTTTGCCGATCATTATGTTGCTAGTATTATAATCTGCTGTTACAAAATGGAGTTCATGGAAAAATCACGTGAGATGCGTACCTTCTAACGACGATATGTCAATTTTACGATTCCCAGCGCACCTTCATTTCTCTGCTTATTAATCCGATCAAAAACAGCCACTCACGTAACACTTCATCAGAAGAGACACGCGCAACACTTGGAAAACATACCATTATCAACTAATAAACTATATGAATAAACATTTATCATCGCCGGCAATCTGAACGGTTAATACGTGAGCAATTAAAAGTTCTTTGTCGATCGTTATTTTCGACCGGACTTAACGTAGACAAAATGCAGCAGCAATGACGGCATGTCTGCATACGTTAACCGAACTAGAAGTTGTGAATCGACCACAAGCAATATTTACATCGTTGATGCTTGGAAACTAGCAGAGATACAGAATACGAAGAAAGAAGAGAAAGGACAGAGAGAGTAAGAGAGGAGAGACGAGAGAGAGAAAGAGAGAGAGCATGGTAAAAGTTGCGTGCAGTTTGGAAGACGTCGCGAGAAGCTAATGAGTGCGTATTACATCGAAAAATCGTTATACCAATCGCGTTCATGGATAACGTATATGCACGAAAAAATTGCGAAACGCCCACACATAGGAACACGCGCTCGCTTCGACCACTGATCGGTCCGTTGATCACAAGGGGACAAGAGAAAATGTGATTCGACTTCAGCTCTTTAAGAAAGAAATACATAAAAGAATTACCTCCTCGAGCGACGTGATTGTCTGTCTGCACTGTGGCATTCGGGAAACGAAGGTGGACGTGGTAGGCGAATTATAATCCTCCCTCGTTTCCTCGACGAACTCGCTTACGGCGATTAGGCCCGGCATTTTTTCCCTCTTTCCACCTATATTGGCTGGAACGATGGGAAACCCTCGAAATTTTTCCACCGGTCTAGCACTAGGTGCCGTCACACTCACTTCACTCTGGCACCACTCACTTCACCGTTTCTCTTGTGCGCACCATAAATTCCGCGGGAGGGCTGTCACCTTCTGTCTCCTCCCAATGCTGTTTTCCGTGACGCACGGTAAACGTCGTTCCGGTGCGACGAACGGACCCAGAGTGGAGCCACGGAAGGAGGGGAACAGGGAAGGGAGGGAGGGGAAGAGGGCACAAAGAGAAAGAGGACAGAGAAAGGGGTTGGAAGCAGGAAGATAGAGAAAGAAACTTTAAGCACACGGTCTGTCTTCTCTACCAGCGAGAGACACTTGCGAAACACGATTATTTCGTTGACATTTTGCTCCCTTGGAGTTTTCCGCACGGGCCACGGGGAAACATATTTCGCACCTTTCTTTTCTACGTGCGGCTCACGATGCATACACACTTTTACGCGCGTACGCGGCTGCGTTCTAGAAAAACTTCTTTGCACCTACTCGTCACTCGATCTAAAATCAACTTGATCGGTGCCGAAACGTCTTCCTCCACGGTCAAAATTTTACTGAGGCGGCGCTGCATACATCTATAGCTTCACCATTAAATGTGCAATTAGAAAGAAAGTCGTTTATATTAACTGTTAATGGTGCTGCCATCTTGTGACACGTTATCATAAGTATCGTCGAAGGAATATTGTTTCCTCGAATTTAAATTATATTTTTACTACTTTTGAATATAACAAAAGTATATCATGTTAAGTACGCATTTGTAACAATTTATTACTATATTAAAATTATTTTCTTTATGGTAACAACAATGTAAAAATAAATTTTTTCCTGTTCATTTACTTTTTGTATCTATTAATAAAAGTTCAGAATCAGTTTTACTATAATGAGTTTAAATATTCAAGTGAAAAATAATAAGGTTTGGACACAAATAAAGCTATCAATGTATGAATTTTTCATTTTTATTATAGAAACAGACAAATTAGAGAACAAGAGTCTCTTGTAATTTAAGTTGTTTTTTGCTTTTTACTTTAACTTGCGCTGCAATGCGATCTAAATCTCTACGACCTTGGCTGGTAAGCTTACGACCACCGATCGGGGCCTTTTCGATAAGCTTAAGTTGCTCCAAACTTTGCAGTGCTTTACGAGCTACACCACCCGCAGATCGACAAAAATGGCTGGGGTGGGTTCCATTACGTTTGCGCCCTCCAAAGATTTTTGTTACTGCTCCTACACCAATGGGACTACGGATGTAAATATGACGTACTAAGGCAGCACATCTTATGTAATACCAATCTGGATCATATGGAGCAAGTTCCTTGAAGCGTGCAGATTTTACAATGTCTACCCATTCTGGAACTCGCATTTTACCAGTCCTAAAATTTACAGAGCATTAGTATATAAATTTCAAAACATTAAAAGATTTGTGAGAAGTAAAAATATAATGTTTTGTTATTCAGTCATAATAGATATTGAAATATGGCAATAACAAATTTTTTGAGGTTAGGTAGATTTATACAAAAACAGTTACTCACTTTTTTAAAAATGCAGCAAAAGCTTTTACAAACTTGTGCTGGTCAACGTCTTTAAGTGTTACAGAAGGCATCTGAAACAAATGTTACAAAACAAAATAATTAATGTGGAAGACGTTGTATCTTCATGCCACATGTATATTATTGTAGCAAGTGCCTAGGTATTATACTAAACATGTCATGTATTTACGTGTATATAGAAGTAGTGCATAAATTGCGTCAACTATTTTGTATTATACGTTATATTACCTTTTCTTACAATAATATGCTAAACTTTACAGAAAAATGTCGAAAGTACGCACCTTTATTCAGAAAGATAACCGGAAAGAGAGAAGCTAAGATGGTGTAAGAAGCAACAAAACTATAAGATGGCTGTACTATTCAGGAAGTGACCACGGAATTTTAATACATAGAAAGGCATTTCGATACCTAAATATTTTTTGGAACTAATCGTGCAAACCTGTATTTGCATAATGAGAATATGAAATATATATCTTATTTTCAACTTTATTAATTTATTTCATTACTTCTCATTTGTATCACAATACAAAAATAGTCATATTCATGACATCGTTTGTACATGAAAACGCTCCATTCGCCTAATATGAATTCTACAAATTGAAATATTGCTCTTACTTATCATTAAATAAGGCGCTTGATATCGAATACTGATATCGCAATCGGCGTAATCATTTTTATTTTTATGCGTACGTTATTTGAATATTGATACACGTCAGTCTGATTGTTGCGACTACAAGTGACAATACTTACTCCGGACAGTATAAAAATTACGCATCCATCAAATCGTTAATATGAGTAACTTTTTGTGTAAAGGTTTGTTCCAACAACCTATAAAATCTTTATTTTCTAAATCTAACTTAATAATTGCGAGGTATTGTAAGAATACAACGTTAACCGAACCAATCCCGTTCTCGAAGGATTTCCTTTTTCGTCAAGTAAGTCAATAACTGCGCATTTGAGTTCAACATCTGTATCATCCATGTACATGAGTGTATAGATCATTACCGTGTTTGTAGCGACATCTAGCGTTGGAGTAATTATATACTAACTGGTTTCAAATAATCGATTCTTTTTAAATTGCACGTTTGCACATGTTGAACATTAATCTTTCATTTATCTGTTTTATGTTGTATAATACGAACAATAATCTGTAATACATATGCTTGGATTCCTATTATACACTTTCATTTCATTATTCATTTTATCGATTATCCAAAAATTTCAAGTGCGACATTTCATTTATTAATACGAATGTTTTTATAAATATTGCAAAGCAAACAATGCTTATACGTTACAATTTTTATCGATACTACTTACCAGCAAGTGATAACTTTTAAATCCTGTTAATTATCATAGACGTATACGTGCTGAGACAAGAGTAATTTTTTAAGTAATTCTAACTTATGAAATGTTAAACCTTCAGACTACTTTAATATTTCTTATTTCTATTAATCAAAAGTGACTGAAAACATAGAAAAAGATAGATATCATTAGAAGTACTTATAAAAAGAAAATGAATAATTATTATGCATATTTTTATTATTTCAAATACTAAAAACAGTATTCATAGAAAAAAATACTACATTATTCAAGGTTATGTAACTACGACATATGATATAACGAATTTCTTATAATTTAAAAAGTCAATTAACTTTTTATAGAATTGCTAATAAAAATTGAAGGGAAGAATGTTAGTAAATTTGAGAGTTAATTGCATTATACGATAATGCGTGTTCCAGAATTTTCAAAGTGTCAAAATGAATTATTAGATGCATAAACAAAGATAATATCGACAAGGTATTTTAAAAGCACTTGTATTATCCAGTCACAGCAGTCTAGTAAAAGTATTACAATAAACTAATAATGGAATGGCGTATTTACGTGTAAATAATAATAATTTTGTAAAAAAAAAAAACTAGAATTTTAGTTTTCTTCCGGTTAACGTAATTTTTTAAAATTTTACTTAATGCTATCACATATGTAGTTATAGACAAGCATTTTTAATTGACGAAAAAAATTAGAATTGTTTAATTGTAAATCTACTGAAAATTTGATTCAAATTCAAATCTTTCGTAAATCGTTTTGAACGAATGTTCTGAAACTCATTTTAGCGCATCTTTGTAATTTTACTTTAATTTTTAATAAAAATTCTTAGATGTTCGATCCCGTGTCCTGCACATACACATATCTATTGGCTGACATCACAGGCAAAACAGCAGTTTTAATTGATCCAGTCATGGAATGGGCAGAACGGGATAAAGCTGTTATCTCGGAACTGGGACTAATATTAAAATATGCTAGTAAGTGGAGAGTACAGTCACATATTTGTAGAAACAATCTTCTGTTCAATCGCGGATTGTAACTATCCAGATAGGACACGACGTTTTAGAAATGTTCATTTTTAATTAATTGAAATTGGAATCAAGTAGAAAATTTAACAACAATTTATCTTCAAAACGTTTTACGTTTTATAGGGAAAAAGGATTGAAATGTACAGCTTTAACCTATGCTGTCTTTTAAAACGGCCTATAAAATAAAATTCTTTATTTTATTACAATTTTCAATTGATGTTGTACAAAGGAGAAGCAGCCAGAATTGTGTTTGTTTACAAGGTTGAGCGCTTAAATGCTTTATTCGGCTGGCTTGTTACGACTACAACGAACGAACAAATTCAATTGCCGATTAATTGTTCCGATCTGATTATATTGCTCTAGAGAAATGTACGAGAATTAAAGGTTGTACTCAATGAAACGTACAATTCAGCCATTTCATTTTCTGCGTTTTCTTTTTTTTTATATATCTCTATAAAAAACATTCGCATCAGTTAAAACGTAGCAGCGAGTAATTTATTAGTTCAACGAAGATCTTGAAATTTTCTGTCCCACTTATTATTGCGTGTAATTCGAAGAAAAATTATATCGAACTTTTACTTCATACCATGCGTTATCCTGCACGTTATTATTTTTCTTGTTCAGTTGTCGTCTAAACTTTCTTGTCGTATTTTCGAAGTTTGCACCGCGGTTTTAATTGAAAAACTTAATAATTAAAATGGAGCTCTCTGGCGCATGTTTATGTTTATCATTAGCTGTTGGTAAAATTAACGAAAGGGACTGTAAAACCTCTGGCGAACTATTTTCGTTCCCGGGCAATTTTAATATTAAAATCAATTTCGAGGGTGATGGATGACGTGTGGGATGAAAAGTGCTATATGGTGACCGATAACAGTTCGAGTAAACGTCATCTTTTTCCAGTAAATACGCATATGCACGCTGATCATATCACCGGAACAGGAAGGTTGAAATGTTTGTTACCTGGTTGCCAGTCAATGATATCACGTAGCAGCGGCGCTAAGGCCGATATACTCTTGAATCCCGGTGACGAAATTAGCTTCGGTAGGCATCATTTACGGATACTGTCTACACCTGGTCACACCGAAGGTAATATACATTTTTCATCGATTAATCTCTATCGGGTAAATATTTTTCAACCGAAAATCTAATCTTACGAGTATCTAATAAAATATTCTATTAAAACCTTCACACGACCTATGTTTATCTAACATTTTTTTTTTTTTACATATACTCATGGAACGTACTGACAAAGTTTCATCTGAAAAAACTGGGACACCGTAACATTCTTTTCTTATTTACACCCGTAGAACATACTGACACAATTTGATGTGAAAAAATAGGGATACTCTGTGCAATGTTTGTAGTATCTACAAATAGGATTTCTTCAATTAAACTTTCATTCTTTTTCCTTTTCTATAAATCTAAATTTACAACGAACTATGATATTTTCAGTTGTACCGGTGTGTTGGTGTATTTTTTAATGGACAAATTTTTATTTGAATAGGTTGCGTTACT